CTGCAGCTCCTGCTCGAGCACGTGAGGAACAGGCTATTTTGGGCCTGTTCCGCATCCCTGTTTCTGTGCCTGAGTCTTAGGGGCAGGTCGAAACAATGAGGGCCTGAAAATGGCCCTCCGTTTCAGGCTGAAAACTCTAGGTCTGAAAAGACCCAGAAATAGGCTGAAACGAGGTAGGGCCTGCAGGCCCTCGTTTTTCATCATCAAGGCTGAAACGAACGGGGCCTGTAAGCCCTAAGTTTTAGGCTTTTTGGCTGAATGTCCGGGACGGGCCCTGCAGGGCCCGTGTGGCTACGCAGTATGCCACAGGGGAGCTGTGGATTCAATCCTGGAATGTAAGGGGGCTGGCGACAATCCTCTCAAACCAGGAAAAGTGGCATTGTCTCCTAAACACGACAGGCTGGAACGGACCACACCCCCCGGACGTGYTGTGCTTTCAGGAAACACACTTAACCAACATATCACCCCACATAGATATAAAAAAGGAATTAATGAAAAGGATAAGAAACTGCGCCGCCGAAGTAATAGCGTACAGTCCACAACCTGCATCAGCAGGAGTAATGACGGTAGTGCATAAGAATGCTCTAGAGGGGCAGCACCTGCAGATCAAATCGATGACGGCAGACCAGACAGAAGGCAGGTGGACAAAAATAGAACTCAACATCAAAGGAGAGGACGTTACCCTAATAAATGTATATGCCCCAAATGCAGCGACAGAGAGAGTAGACTTCTTCACTAAGGTAGGGGAGTTAATTTCAGCGCAATCTCACACCATACTAGTAGGAGATTGGAATACGGTTCAGGATCCACAAATGGACAAAATATCGTGGGCAAAGGACAGCTCTCAGGATGCAGCAGGGGTAGCACTAGCCCAGTTGGCTACATAAAAGGACCTCATAGACCCGTACAGAGTACGCAACCCTCAGAAAAAGGACTTCACCTGCATCAGAAAAAACAGCCTAGGCAGAACCACCTTCTTTAGAATTGACTTCTTCCTAACATCGGAGTCTCTAGAAGGTGCAGTCCTGGATTGCAGAATAGGCAGATTGCCACACTACGATGGCTATGACCACAACCCCATAGAGCTTAATCTTGCTTTCTCCCTGGACAATGCGCCGGGGAGGAGCTTCTTCAAATTAAATACCTCCCTCCTTAGCTTGGGCTCCTTTAAACAGGAGTTCAAAGCTAAATGGGAACTAATCAAGTCGAAAATAGAGGAGGGGGAAGTGCTGGAAGAGTTTCCAACCGCCGTTCAAGAAATGACCCGGTGGGCGAATGGGTTCTCAAGAAGGGAGGCAGCAAGAAGAAGAGCAAGGCAACAGAGTCTAGAGGCAGTGGTAGAAATAGCAAAGTTCAATCTGATAGCCAATCCGGGTGAAAGTCTCTATGAGCAACTATTACAAGAAGCAAGAATAGAACTCAGGCAATGGGCGGACTGGAGGAGGCAACGCTTACAAATAAGAGCCAGGGTTAGGGATTGGGAAAGCAACGAGGATATGACAAAATTCTTCTTCCAAAGAATCAAAGCAAATAACAGAAAGAGTAGAATACTAGCCCTAAAAGACTCTTTAGGAACCACACATACATCACAAGTAGGAATATTAAGGGTAGCCGCTGACTTTTACCAGGACTTATATACGTCCAAGACTTTCCTAGCTAATCCTGGCAGCGTGCATAGGGCCAGGGAAAAATTTCTAAAGCACTTAGACAAAAGTCTCAGCCCAATAGCGAGAGATTTATTGGAAAAGGAAATCACTAAGTCAGAATTGTACGAAGCTCTTGTGAGCATGCAACCGAATAAAACGTCAGGCAGAGACGGTCTACCGAAAGAATTTTGGCAAAGTAATTGGCATCACGTAGGCGATACAGTGACCAAGTTCTTTTTAGAGGCTTTCACTAAGGGTTCGATAGGTGAGGTTTGCAGCACGGGAGTGGTCACGCTCCTGTACAAGAAAGGGGACAGGGAAGACATAAGGAACTACAGACCCATTACGTTGTTACCTGTGGTCTACAAAATCTTAGCCAATGTGGTAAGCTTGAATGAGGCCACGAAGACCATCAGAGACAAGAAACTACAAGCGGCCATATTGTTTTTTGATTTTGAAAAAGCTTACGACCAGGTGAGCTGGGATTTTTTACAGCTCAGTATGGAGAAAATGGGAGTTGGACCAAACTTCAGGAGATGGGTAAGAGTCCTCTACGGGGACGCCCAAGGGATGGTGCAGGTTAATGGACACCTTTCCGAAAGCTATAGGATGACCAGATCAGTCAGACAAGGGGACCCTCTAGCAGCTCCGATCTTCCTCTTTGTAATGGAAGCAATAGCGGCTTTCCTTCGTAAGGACCCCTCTATAGAAAGACTGGTAGTACAACAGGGGGAGAAACAATTGCACATCCCTACAACCATTCTCTTCGCCGATGCCCTGACAGTGTTAATTAGAGCGTCAGACTCGTCTTTCTTAGCCTTAACCAAGGCCATGCAAGCTTTCCAACTCGCGTCAGAAATGAAGATAAATTGCAGAAAAACGGTAGGATGGTGGTTGGCCCAGTCAAACCCCCCGCAATAGACGCCAGATACGCAGGGCCTCAGTTGGCTAGATCCTCAACAACCACTGCGTTTCCTAGGTATCCAAGTCTCTTTGGAAGGTACGAAAAATGAGTCCGGTGCTAGCCTGCTACTCAAAATGATGACGAAGTTGGCAGGGTGGCAGGATTCTTTCGTATCCCTCATGGGGAGAGTGTTAGTAATCAACACCTCGATACTCTCAATGGGTTGGTACGTAGCATCCTTGTGGAACCCACAAGCGAGCTTTTTCACAACTCTGAAAAGTAAATTAGGAGCCTACCTATGGACGGGAAAGGCGGAAAAAGAACATTACATAAGCAAAGTGGCATGGAAATATATCACTTGTCCAAAACAGCGGGGGGGATTGGGTCTCCTAAACCCAGCAGTGCAGTTCCAGGCGCGCTGCAGCACAAGTGGATCATTAAACTACTTTTTAATAGGGAACTACCATGGTACCAAATGGCCTTACACCAGATATGTAATTTAGTTCCGTTCCAAGCTGATCCGGCTATAGAAGGGTATTTTTGGATTCTAAACAGCTTATGGACACCCAGAAGAAGAGAAGGGAGAAGAGGGTTGGCAGGCAAAGACCCGCCCAGTGAACACTGGGCAACGCTAATAAAAAACTGGAGAACTTGTTTACCACAAAAGGTCAGAACACCAAAAATCAAAGAGGAGGTCCTGAGACAACCTTTATTTGGAAACCCCAGTTTAATGGACCACAAGGACAAACCTTGGCAACTAAACGCCAAGGGTAAACATTGGAAGAAATGGATTAGTAAAGGG